ATGGTTATTAGTTAAGAGTTATGATGAGTTGGGGTTAAGGTCCAATTCAATTCAATCAGCATTTATTAAGTGCAAGGTACTACACTAGATGCTGAAGATGCAAAGACAAAACTGAAAAACAACCCCCACCCTCAAGGAACTTACATTCTGTGGAGGGAAACCTACATGTAAACAGATACAAGTAGATGAAAGATAATTTGATAAAGAAGAGAAGACTCACAAGAAGGAAGGTCAGGAAAGGCTTCAAGTAGAAGACAGCACTTAGCCTTGAAGGAAGCTAAGATTCTAAGAGGCAGAGGTGAGCAGAAGAACCCAGTCTAAGCACAGAGGTGAGAGCTAAGATGACAACTATGTCAAACAGAAAGTAGAACAGTTTCCTTAGAACATGGGATTCTAGATTTAGAGAAAGACCTTACAGGCCATTGAGTCTCTCATTTTATAGAGGTTAAGTGACCCTAGGCAAGTCACTTTCTGACTCCAAGATCACTGATCTATCCACTGCACCATCTAAATGTTTACAGGTTGCTAGGGTTACTAAGTCTGGCTTGTTTCCTCTTGGGATTTAGCTTAGAGTTCTTTTCTGGGTTGAGGTTAGGGCTAAAGTTTAAAAGTAGTTGTCATTTACTGTTTTTATGCATCTAGTGCTAGATGCTCTCACAAGAGACAGGGAAGGGTGAAGAAACTTCTAAACAGTAGACTCCACCGATTGCAGAGAAATGTAAGTAATGTGGAGAGGACTCAAGAAAATCCATAGGTATGATGGAAGGTCTGGAAAGGAAAATTGATGGAGAAGGTAAAATGAGTTGGGATGGTTTGATCTTAAACTTTGAAAGCAATGAAATAACTTTTCTATCCATAAGTCTCCACTTATTGGACCATCACCACTCTACCGTTCTCCATCCCCATCTTGAAGTGAATACAAATTAGAGCCAGAAAGAGCCTGGATTCACTTGAGAAAAACTCTTCTCCACAAGCAGGGATGTTGTAGACTGGGAACAAAGAAGGAAGGACTGTGGAATGGGTTCCCTGGAAGCCTTAGAGAACTGCGCAGGATTGAATTTGCTTAAGATGCTTTAAGTGAAAGAGGTGCGTGAAGTCTGGGTCATGGATTTGATGGCTTCTCTTTAGAAGTCCCTTTTTAGGCTTACAATCAGGTCAGCAAGACTTGATTTATTCCAATGGTCCAGAGCCCAGTTACCTGGGATCTTAGCCCCACCACTGATGTGAACTTGTATCTGACTATTTTCTCCTCACACTGAGAAGTTGGTGTTAGTAGAGAAGCAGCCGGCCCTACCATGGGAGCTGCACCCACCTTAGCACATTTCTTAACTTAAAGACCAGATCTAAGACCAAACAGTTACATGTGCTTATGGCAAGATGAATTTTTAGAGGCTCTTTTTTTCTACTTAGAAATATCCTAGACAAGGAAGTGAACATCTTGTCTAAGATTGGATGAAACTGGATGCATAACAAATTGACAAGAACTCCTCCCTCTAGAAATCTCCTCCAAAGATAGAAATCTCTCTCAGTTGGGGAGCTAATAGAATTAAAGGTAGATTCCCAGAGTGCCCCTCCCCAAGAACAGCCTGACAGGGAGGTGCAGTTGGCAAGCTGTGCCCTGGGACTCATGCTGCCCTGGGCACTGTCTACCTCCCATATGAATTATGGGCTTGGCCTCCTGATGCTCTCTCTCTTGCAGCACCCACATTGGTTTGTAAGGGATGGAAGATTTCAAGGGGGATTTCTCCAGTGCCCAACAGGAGCATTCATTCATTTCTCCTGGGGTGTCTTCCTTCTCTCAAAGCATTCTGAGGTCACCACTGAAGGAATCAGGAGGGGAACTCATTATCTCCTGCTGGATGGTGGCAATGCCTTCTGGCCAGCCTCTGTCTAGATACCATCAACCCTACAGCCAAGCATCAAAAATCACCTTCCTCAAACACCCTTGTGGTCCCATTATCTCCCTTCCTCAGGCCACTGTAATGTCTCCTTTTCATCCACCATTGTATGCAAGCTTCCTACTCAAAAACCCCCTCTACTGATTATGGGATCATGGGATTTGGCCCTAGAGGGAACCTTAGAGATCATCTAAGTTGTCCCTCATTTAACAGAAGGAACTGAAGCCCAAAGAAGTTAAGACCAAGACCAAACATGTAATAAGTTTAGAGTCAGGATTTGAACCCAGTGATAATGAAATTTTATACACAATTTGAGATCATAAAATATTGTTCAAATCCTAGCTGTTTCTTACTACCTGTATGAGCTTAGACAAATCATTTAACTTGTCTGTACCTCAGTTTTCTCATCTATGAAATGAAAGGGATGGACAGCATAATTTCTAAATTCCCTTTCAGATCTAAATCGTATAATCCTATTATCTTTTGACTCTAAATTCAGGGTTCTCTCAACTCCTGACACATTGTCTCCAACTCTCCTAACTCTTCCACCTCCACTTCACCCAACCCAGTTCTTAATACTCCTTCCAGTAAACTGTCTACCCCATGATAAGGTCAGTCAGGTATCACTATCTGGTCCCACTCCAGATTGCCCTCATCTACACCCACTAGCTATGATAATGGAGTTGCCAGGACACCAATTTCTAGGACAGTCACCAAGCCTTACCCAAGAACGGAGGGATGGACAAGATGAGCTCTGTTTGACTTATGCACCTCCCCCCAACCCCACCCCAGAGAAACAAAATAAACATTTAATCTCATGTATTTTCAGGGCACTTATATTGGAAAGATGGGACTTGTTTTGAGACTCTAGCAAATGCTTTTCTCAAATCTGTTTCATCTCCATCTGTCACCCAAAGCATGACCATTCACCTCCTACCAGAAATAATCAGATAGGGGTTATAGCATACCTGAAGATATTTACTGTGGGGAAGACATGGGAAAACTTTGGAGGGATTCTCCCCCTCTTCTCCACCACATTTGGAATGCTATTAGGTGGGGAGGGAGGTACCTCCACAGTTGACTAAAAAAAGGAGGATATGAAAAGATCCTCTAAGCAATTGTTATGGACTCTGCCTCATATCATTATTCTCTCTCCCTCTCCTTTCCTTCTCTCCATCCAGGCACTCCCTTTTCTTGTTTGCTTGGGGTTTCTCCTCCTACCCAGCCTATGGCTTGTTACTGTCAATGGTTTGGGCACTGATTGGTTGTCTCTTCCTCCACTCCTTCCTGGTCCCACCCTAGCCAGATGTTGCAAATTTACCCTGAAGTCTGAAGCTGAAGCCAAGAAGTACAGAGGGGAGTGGATTAAGTAGACACTAAAAATATTTTTGTTTGTGATACAATGGAAAATGTTCTGAGATTAGTCCTCAGAAGAACAAGGCTCCACCACCAACTCACTGAGTATTTATAGAAGAGTTACTTGATCTCCCTCGATCCATTTCCTTGCTGTAAAATGAACATAAGATACAATGGAGACAGGCAATGTGGTAGAATGGACAAAGTAATGGATTTGAAGTCAAGGGTTCCAAGTTCAAATCCCGCTTGTAATAATTATGACTTGCAGTGGTTAACCATCAAATCACTTAGCTTCTCTGTACCTCGGTTTCCCCTTCTGTACAGTGAGGTAGTTGGATTACATATGGTCTCTAAGATCCCTTTGTGCTCTCTGTCTATGATTCCACAACCTACTAAACTCACTTCATGGGGCTGTAATGAGGATCAAGTAAGATAATAGCTAGGCAAGCACTTTGAAATACAGGAAGTGCTAAATTGAGTAAAACTACTTTAATTACTAGTTTGGAGATATTTGGTTGTAATGCAGTTCTTCTCTGGATCTTGGTTCTATATCTTAATTGAATTTAGTACAAAAGAAAACTCCAGTCTTAACTCTTGTTTGCTATGTGACTGAGTAAACTCTCTGGGTCCTACTTTCCCCAAACAGAACATAAGATTCGTTTCTCCTCTGGCCCACCCTCATTTGCACTCCTTCCTGCCCATCTGCCCCATTTTCAGATGCTACTCCCATAGGCCTGCTGCTGAGTCAGATGATACTAGATGGAATTTCTCTGGGAGGCTGGGTAGTTGAAAGTATGGTGAGGTGTGTCTGGGAATAAAACATCTTATCAATATCAATTTTGTTTCTGCTTGGGGTGGATTTAGTACCCAAATTCAATCTATATTTTCCCTCTGGGAAAAAAAGTAGGTTGTGTCTTTCATGTGACTGCAAAGAAATACAATGTGAGCCAACATAATAGCCATAGTATGTAGTAGAAAAGCAGCTCTCCTCACCCCTAGCCTCTCCATTCTTAAGTTTCGATAGCTACTTCTCTAGGAACATGAGTTTAAAAGTCCTTCAATCGAGAAGTATGCCAGAGTCAGCTTGAACCAGCTCTAGCTGATTGTTAAATTTTCAGTGAGAGCACTTAAGTATTTACCAGAATCCACTGTCTCCATCTATATCAACCTCCTCACTCTTCAGCTCACTGACTCTTCAACTCAGATACTATCTTTACCACCCCTAAAAAAAAAAAAAAGACATCTCCCCATCCATCACCTACATCTCACCCTCAACTACCACTGAGCCTTTCTATTATCCATTCTCTCACCCAGTATGCCCTTTTCACTTCTCTCTAGCCATTTCTCACCTTCCTACCTCTCCATGCTCTGTAAAATCCATCCTTTGGCCCAGTCTTCCCTAACTCTCCTCCCCAGGACTAAAATCTGAGGGTTCTATCCAGTTCTGTGTCTTTCTATGTGTGTGCGTGCCCTAAAACTTGCCCCATCTCTGATATTAGGCTATGAGTTCCCCAAAAGTGAGGAATAATTGTCTCCCCCCCACCTTTGGATTATAATAGCCAGAGCAGCAAGGCTATGCACACCAAGTGAAAGTATTTCTTAAGTGCTATTGTCTCTTCAACAATAGGTGAGACCATACCTGAGAGTGTTTCAGACCAAAAAGGGGTACTCAGGGATGAAAAGCATAGCCAAACAGACTGATACACAGAACAGTTTATTGGAAAAGCACCCAAAATGTCAGCCCTTTGAAGACCAAGTCTCAACAATGAAATGGAGCCAATGGCAATACACTGCTGGCCATTCTTTCCCCAAGGGGGTGAATGTACCTAAATGCCATGTTGTCCCCATCAGCAGCAATGAAGGGAGTTCAAAGCTGGGAGTGGGGTGCAGAAAGAAGGAAGTGGTATTACATCACAATAAGGAAGGAAATGAAGGTAAGTCCATGTCTTGGGAACCAAACATATTCCTTGTTTCAAAGCCAATATGTCCATGCCCTCAATCCCCCATAATCCCTTAAGACTGCTTCAAGAATCTCATCAGATTCTCCCTGTAGGCACAAATATCTCTTATCTGGAGAGCTCAAGGGCAGGCAGGAAAGGCAAAGGAAAGACAACTAGAAGGCTAAGCACAATTTCAAAATACCAGCCACGCTGACAGAACTTCTAGCAGGACATCTGGATACTGCGGATGCCTGTGGGAACATGACTAGAGAGCAAGGCAGAAACAGGACCCAGTGGCCCATATCTGTTGTTCTCTTTCCTTCCACATCTGCCCCTCGTATTCCCAACAGAAATTCTTCCTTATGGAAGAAAGGTCCATTACCAATTACCTCTGGGACCCTCCCCCATGGGAATATTATTGCCTACTCCAAGATAATCCTCAGGATTAGGATGGCCACTTAGATCATTTTCAACCTTTAGTATGGGCAGGAGATTCTACTGTCCCCAGAAGGATTGAGGAGTTAATTACAGTTCAAACACTGTATATAGCAGTCCCTCTGGAAATGACAGATCCTCTCTTCCCAGGCAGTGTCTGCCTTGCAAATAACTCTCCAGAAAGAAATGTTCATGTCTGTGCTTATTGTTGTTGTCAGGTTGTCGTACAAGCTATGGGCCAAGGAGGAAAAAGGGCCACTAAGAGTCCCAATCTCTGGAGCTGAGACACTTGGTACAGTTACAATCACCTCTCAATTACCTGCATTGGGGAGTCCATGAAACTTCCTTTTCTCCATTACAAAACTAGACTCTAGAACTCAATAGACAGATCCAAATGAAAGAATAGTGAGGTCTAGCATGACCCATGTATGTCTGAAGATTTGTATATGTGTCTGTCTTTCTGTCTGGATGACTGAGACAGCTATAAATGAATTTTGGATTATCTGTTCCTTGGGATCAACCATATATTGCTCCTCTAACTTCTCTCCTCCACTCAAGCCCACCTTCATCCAGCAGCTCAATTCTGCACACCTATGGCACCCCACACACATTGACACGTAACCAAGGCTCCAATGTATTTACAAAATTGTTGAGTCTAATCAGGAAGAGGCTAGGAAAGGGGCTAGGGAAAGGCTTGAGGGGCAGGTGAGATCAGAAACTGGCAGCCATAATAGCGGAAATCCTGGGTGGCTAAGGCATTTGTCACACTACTCGATGACATGTCTGCTGGAGGAGTTGGTAGAGGTTCGGATGATTTGCACCCTGGAAGAGCTGAGCCCACTTTTCCTGCTTCTGCTGCTCTCTCCATACCCGCCACTGCTGCTCCCCCCATAAACTCCTCCACCACCCCCTCTGGAACTGCCACCACCCCTACTGCCCCCATAGCTCTCTCTGCCACTGAAGCTTCCAGATCCTCGGCCAGAGCTGCTCCCATAGCTGCCGCCGCCTCCGCCATAGCTCACGCCGCCTCCGCCACCGCTGCTGCTGCCTCCAATGGTGACTTTGCTGCTCTGTACAGCTGCAAGGAAAAGTCCAGACCAAAGGGCTTGGTCTACAGAGACTCCACTATGTGTGCTGGTGTCCCTCCTCCCATACTGATTGGTCTACCAGTAGCATCCTTCAGGGAGGTCCTGCACCTCCATATAATCCTTAAGTCCTCCCCACCTCCACATATACACATGCACTGCTACTTACAGATGCTAACAGGGTTCTGAAATTCTCCTGACATCCTGAAAAACAAAATAGAGCCATGTCAACCGGTCCCACAAAACCTGAAGTAGATGTAGATCACAAATACATGGTGCCTTAAGTTTTATAAAGTACCTGACGTATCATTCGATCCCCATGACACCCTGTTAGGTGTCAAGATTATCCCTGTTTTACAAAAGGGTAAACTGAGGCTCGGAATGATTAAGCAGCTTGCCCAGGGTCACACAGCTAGTAATACCTGAAGCAGCATCAAAGCCCAGGTTTTCCCGGCCCCATGACACAGCTTCTCAAGAAAGAAATAAGGCCAGGACACCAAGAAATCAGGGTTGGGATGGAATCATGGAAAGTAAGGGAACTTAGTCACCAGTTAGTCCAAACCCCTAATTTTATAAATGGGAAAAGTGAGGCTCAGAGAGAGGCAATAGCTTGTTGGAAGATAGTGGTAGAAGACAGGATGGAGCTTGGGTCTCCTTACCCTGTCCAGTGTTCTTTCCTCTGTAAGACATAGCCTAAGTTAAACTAATTGTTCAGTGTACAACCCTATACCCCATCCCCATCCAGGAAAACTTAGGTTCAGGCTTCTGTTTTTCATTATCCCTGGAGACTAAGAGAAGAATGTATTCATCCTAAAGCAGGAAGAGCTGAGCTTAGACCCAAGGAACAATTTCTTATCAGAGATTTTTTTGAGAGATGGTGGCACTGCCATCCTTCAGGGATCATAAGACACTAGAAACAGCCTCAGGTGGCTAGGAAAGCGTGGAGGCAGGGGAATGGAGAAAATGACCTCTCAAGAGCACACTGAGCTCACTGAGACAAGTCTCTGGCTGTCCCCATGCCCACCTGATCTCCTCTCCCTCCAGCAGTTTCCTATAGGTGGCAATTTCAACATCCAAGGACAGCTTGGTGCTCAGCAGCTCCTGGTAATCGCGCAGAAGGCGGGCCATCTCTTCCTTGCTCTGATGGAGAGCCTCTTCCATGTCTTGCAGCTTCTGCTGGGCATCTTGGAGGGCTTGATCCCCTCTCTCCTCGGCATCCGAAATGAGTGATTGCACTTGGCCAATCTGTGCCAGAGAAAAACCAGGAAGGAGTCAATGAAGTAGCCCCTTGCATCATTCACAGATCCTAGATTCTTAGTGCTAAGGGGACTTTGGAGGTCCCCAATTCAATGCACTTATTTTACAGAGCAGGAAACTGAGGCCCAGAGACATGAACTGACTTGCCCAAGATTGCGCAGTGTCTGGAGAAGAGCTGGAGAAAAGACTTAGAGACTGGATTTGGATTCAGTAAATCTGAGGGCAAGGATAGTTTATGCAGGTTCTCTTCTCCTAGCTAGTCATTATATTTTTGCACCTACTCCCCTCTCCTGCAGCTCAACAGATGAAGGGGATGCTTTTGATGCCCAAATGCTTTATTGTCTTCCTCCTTCCATATGTGTAGAATGTATAGTTTTCAGGGAGAAGGGGGCGGCTCTGCTTTTATATGCTCCTAAGAGATGAAACTGTCCTTCCCTATCTCAGAAGGCAAAGTCAGTGGGAGGAAAGAATGAATAAAGAGAAGTAGGTGACACCAAAAGATATAAAGCTCTCTACTGACTTTCTAACCCTTCCCAGCCCAGCCAATATCCCCACAAGATGGCTTTGTCTCTTATCTAAAGAGGTGTGAACTCCCATGTCATTTAAACTCCCATGTTTATACTTGAAGGCAAAACCACAACCCCAAATCCAATAGAAATAGGTATATTTTGTTCACTGTTTGGGATCCTCTGTATCCCATCTCCTTCATGGGAAAAACTAAGTATTAATTCCTTCATGTAATGCCTTTGTGTGTTTAAGTAATCTCCCTCCTGCTTTACAATATCGCTGTAGCTACTTCCTTTGCTGGTATCACCCTCATCCCTAAAAAAACATACTACCCACGAGGGGCAGCTAGGTGGCGCAGTAGATAGAGCACCAGCCTTAGAGTCAGGGGGACCTGAGTTCAAATCCTACCTCAGTCACATAACACACATTAGCTGTGTGATTCTAGGCAAGTCGCTTAACCCCAATTGCAGCAAAAAAAAAAAATCAAAAAAAATACTACCCATCAATCTGAAATAGACTGTTGGAAGGAAGACAGTCATCAAATCCTATCCTGGAGAGCAAGACTCAATTCATCTCAACTCTTGTTTTGGGGCCAGGCCCATTGTGCTGGGGTAGACACTCTAGGAAAAGGATAATGGGAAAATAGGAATGTTTCACTGAAATCTATTTGGAGGAAGGGAGGCAATAATGGGCCATTTTGTAAACTAACGCTGGAGGCTCTTCCTACCTGTTTCTTCACATTTCCAATCTCTGACTGTAGCCTTTGGATTATCCGATTGAGCTCTGAAATCTCCATCTTAGTGTTCTTCAGGTCATCATCATGTCTGCCAGCTGTAATTTGGAGCTCCTGGTACTGCAGGCCAGACACCACATCACACTCAATGATGGCTCACCTTGTGGAATCAAAGCTAATCTTCATGAGGTACAACCACCCGAGCGCCATAGTCAAGGTTGCGTTCAACCTAGAGTTGTCCCCTGCCTTCCATAGCCCATCTGAGTACTCACATCCCATGAGTTCTGGGCTCAGACTCTGCTCCAATTCGGCAAACTTGCCTCTCCCCCACACTCACCTAACCTCTCCCACCTCTGGGTCTTTACACCAGCCATTCCTCCAATGTGACCATCTTATGTGAGCCTTCCCCAGTGTGACCCATGCTTATTACTCGTTCCTCCGAGAAACCTTCCCTGACTAACTTAAATGACTGTGGTCAAGCCACTACTCCCCTACCCTCAGCATTTATGGACCTCAATGCACTTAATTTGCATTTTCTTCTTTTTCTGCATCTCTGTGACTCTGTCTCTGTCCTAGACATATGTCCATCTTCCCCTTTAGCATAGTAGTTTCCCAAGAACAGCATATAGATTTCTTCTTCCCTCTGCCTCTCCTCCAACATGTATAGCAGGGGTCTGAAGGTAGAGGACTCTGAATTTGACTTTCTATTACATTAACCTATTTAACTTCTCTTTAGTTCAATTGACCCCACCTTAAGCATATCCATATGGGGCGTTTGAGAGAGCCGACTCCACTTTGACCCTTGAACCAAGGTACAGACTCAGGTTGTGGGACCACTCACCTTGTCCTGGTACATAGCCTCAGTCTCAGCCTTGCTCTTCTGGAAAATTAGTTCATATTGTTCTTGGACTTCCTGGATAATGCTATCTAAATCCAGACTACGGTTGTTATCCATGGAGAGGATGACGTTGGTGTCGCTGGTGGTAGTCTGCATCTGAGACAACTCCTACGAGAGACAGAGATCTGATCACTTGGTGCTCCATTTTTGCTTCCCACTTTCCTCCAAAGACACTCTTTATACTTCTCCAGGAAGCTTCCCAAAGCTAGATCCCAGACTCCCCAGTCCTGCCAGCAGGGTCACCCTCTCACCCCATTCCAACAAGTACAGAAAATCTTCCATAGAGTTTCATTTTCCTACTACCTGTGGTTCTATTTTCTCTGTCTATAACCTAAGTGTTTTTCCCACCTTCCCAAGCAGACTGGGAGCTCCCAGAGGGCAGGAATCTATAGCCTCCTGTCTCTGGATACCCCCTACCTCAACAACAGAGGCAAAGATCTGCATACAGGGACATTTAAAAGTTGGGAGGTGTCTCCCCATTGCCTACCAAATAAAATATAAATTCTTAATGTTGGCACACAGGGCCCTGTACAATGTGTTTCCAACATACTTTTCCAGCCTTATGATATCTCCCTTTGCCATATTCTGTGTTCTAGACAAACTGGACTATTCTCCATCTCCTGTTCTCATTTAGTCGTCTTATGTTTCTATACTTTTGGTCACACCATTCCCCATCTTTAATCTGTTCAAATCCATCCTTTTCTTCAAGGCTCAACACAGGGATCACCTCCTCCATGAAGTTTTCCCTGAACTCTTCCCCAGAGGGAAGAGGGATCTCTCCCTCTTCCAGTTTCTCAGAGCCCTTTGTCTGGACCCCACTCTCCCATGCATCATAGTTATATGTGTGCATATTTTCTCCCCTAATAGAATATGAACTCTTTGATAAGAGAGCACCATCCTATCTCTCTTTGTATAGATGCCTCATCTCCGTATTTATACTAGTAGGTGTTTAATAAATGTTTCTTGATTTTATTCTTGGCTATAAGTGGTAATTCTCTGATGGGAGAAGAGAGAGATCACTGACAAACGTACGTGATATTTAAACTATATATATATATATATATATATATATATATACACACATATACATATACATGCACATACTTGTTTGTTGAATTTAAGTTGAAATAAAACAGTGACTAGCAGACAGGACCACTCCTAATCTATCCAAGATTTAAAGTTTTGTTTAGGTCCTTAAAGACTTGTAGAGAAAAGCAAAAATATCATCCCAATCCCAATATCCATCTTAACACCCAGAAAGTTTTTCCTGTTATAGAACAATTCTAGTGACACCCCCAAAGAGTAGATGAGGACCTGAGGATTGAGACTCCTTTCCCCCTAAGAATCATGCCACATTCAGAATTTTATTTATGGGGGGGGCTAGGCAATGGGGTTAAGTGACTTGCCCAGGGTCACACAGCTAGTAAGTGTTATATGTCTGAGGCCAGATTTGACCTCAGGTACTCCTGACTCCAGGGCCGGTGCTCTATCCACTGCGCCACCTAGCTGCCCCTACATTCAGAATTTTAGGTAGGAGAAAAAGCTAGCTTCCTATGGATAGACACCTTACCGCTTCATGCAGGAACTTCAAGAAGTCAGTGTCCTTAAGCAGTGTGTCCACCCTAGACTGCAGGTCAACTCTGTTCATATAGGCAGCATCTACATCCTGAACAAAAGAAGTAGAGATATTTTGACCTCACAGCCACTTCTCAAATATTGATGGATAAACTGTGGATTATTCAGGCCCGTGTCTTCCTACCTTCCCACCTGCTGAACTTTTACCAGAGGGCAGAGACAAGAACCTCAAGAAAGGAATGGAGTCTCCATCTGTCAGTGTGACTACTTGCAAATAGCTCTGACCCAAGGTCTGGCCATGGGGCAGAGAAAGGCAAAGCACTTGCTTGGCCCAACTGCGGTGCTAAGTTCAGCCTAAATCTCCCACTAGCTGGGCAGTCTCCACCCTCCTTGGATCATGAATAATCAAAAAGATCATTAGTGATTTTAATGTAAGATCAGAATTAAGAGATTTAAAGCAGTCTCTCTTTCATATATCCTGCTTTCAGAGTGAACCAAGATTCAACTTTTCTAGCTGACATAATTTGATTGTCAATAAGCACTTCAGAGGCCAACGTGCATTCCCCTGCCTCCAAGCATCTGGCATCACCAAGGACCACAGGAATCGAAATCTAAGGGTATCCCAGAATTCCCTTCAGTTACTTGGAATGTGGGGAAGGAGTGCTCAATTCAGAGTCAGAAGAGCTGGGCTCTAAACTACCTGTGGCCTTAAGAAAATCACTAGAGCTCTCTGGGCCTCAATTTTCTCATGTATTGGGAGTGGGGAGGGGTTCGTACCAGAAAACGTCAAAAGTCCTTTCAGCTCAAAATCCTATAACTTTGCTACTCACGTCCGCAACTCTCACTCTTGCTTCCACCCTCCATTCTGTGCCCATGTGGCATCTTAGCCCTCTCTAGCCACCCACCTTCTTCAGCATGACAAAGTCATTCTCAGCATTGGTCCTTTTATTGATTTCTTCCTCATACCTGCAGAGAGAGAGGTGCAAGAAAAATGCAAATGGCCAACCCTGGATCCTTGAGGGGTCCTTTCAAGTATAAACAGTCAGATGCACACTTGCTTATGGGATTGAACATCTTCCCCAGACTGAGGCTGCTAGGTGGCATGCCAGGGTAAACTCAAGGTCAGGAAGATCAGAGCTCAAATCCAGCCTCATACACTGACTAACTATGTGACCCTGGGCAAGTCAATCTTATTCTGAAAACTGTATTCAAGTCAATACTACAGTTGAAAGTAGAAATTAGGGCTCCACTCACCAACCCTGTGACTCTCCATACCAAACCTCCCATCCCCAGTCACCACTCCTCAATATGTGTGATCTCCCTCTATTAGAATGTAAGGTCCTTGAGGGCAGGGATTATGTCACTTTTATACCTGTATCCCCAGTGCCCAGAGCACAGTGTATGGTATATAATAGGCACTTATTAAATGTTCTTTTTTCCATCCCTTCATTTCAGTCTAACATTCTTTCCACTGTCATGCTATTAATCTAAAAAAAAATATCAATTATAGTTTTGGAAAGTGTTGAGTTACTATTATTAATATATAATTGGGTAATTATAAAACATTCCAATATAATCTTATTACTACTATGACATATTCATAGATGCATATCTGATTCCAGGACATTTGTTATGATGAGTTCCCTAAGCACACACCACAGAAGGTAGTTCATAAATGGGGCAGGTTATGGAGGAAAGCTAGTCTGAGATTAACACTGGATAATTATGTCATTTATAGGCATTACTGTACCATCATTACCATAGCTCCTAAAAGGCTAATAATGATAGCTAACATTTATATAGTGCTCTAAAATTAATGAAGCTCTTTACATACATTATCTCATTTGATCTTCACAACAAACCCTAAGAGGTAGGTGCTGTTATTATTCTAATTTTACAGATGAGGAAACTGAGGCCGAGAGAGGTTAAGTGACTTGCCCCATGGTTGCACAGCTATTAAGAAGCTGAGTCAGGATTTGAATTCAGGTCTTTCTGCCTCCCAAATCCAGTGAAGGAACTCTCTCCACCAATGCACATCAACAACCCTTCAACCCCCAAATAAATGGTCTCTGTGTTGTCCTGCCTGAAAAATTCATCTTGTTAGGGCAGCTAGGTGGCGCAGTGGATAGAGCTCTGGCCTTGGAGTCAGGAGGACCTGAGTTCAAATCCAACCTCAGACACTTGACACTTACTAGCTGTGTGCGAGCTAGGCAAGTCATTTAACCCCAGCAGCCTCACCAAAAATGAAAAAACAAACAAACAAAAATTCATCTTGTTGCAGTCAACCTGGTAAAGGGCCTCTCTAATTGGGCTTCTAATAAGACACACAGAGTCATTCTAACTTGGTAGCAGCTGACAGAGTTTGCAATCTACTTGCATTGATCATGTGGGGCAACCTCCATGACATGATAGGGTTCCAGAGCTAGTACTTTAATGGAGATATAGTAACATGTATATAGTACTTTGGGTTATGAAGCTCTTTTTCATGTACATTATGTACACAACTGTCCTGGAGACAGGTAAGACAGGAAGGGTTAGGCTCATTCTATAGATGAAAATTAAACCCCAGGAAGGAGAGATGACCTGCAGAAGGTCACATAACTAGGACTTCCCCTGAGCCAAATTTCCCTCCTCACTATGGCAAGTTTTCCTAATATATCCCATCCTCCACCTCTCCCCACTCTGGGCTCCCACGCTCACTTGGCCTTGAAGTCCTCTACTAAGTCTTGCATGTTTCTTATCTCTGAGTCTTGGAGCATCCGCTCGCCATTCAGGCTATCCACCTGCCTCCTCAGCTCAGCAATGTAGGACTCCAAGATGGGCTCCAGGTTGTTCCTCCGGGTGGTGGTATTCACCTGCTGCAGCAGGTCCCATTTTGTCTGCAGTACCTGGTTCTGCTGCTCCAAGAACCGTACCTGGATGCCAAAAGAGCTATTGGAGCCTGGTTCCCTGGACTTTGTCATCAGTCCTACAGCTGAACCCCTGAAATGCTTTCCCGAAGCTTCTTGAGGTCAGAGACTGTCTCACTTTTCTATCTGTATCCCTCATGCTTAGCACATTACTTGACCCATAGTAAACATTTAATAAATTAAATTTATTCACTCATTTATTGGTTTCCTCTCCTGTAAAAAAAAAAAAAAGAGTACAATATTTGCTTTACTTGACAGGGTTTTTGTAAGGAAAGTATTTGGTAAACAAAGAAATGTGAGGCATTATTCTTGTTCCTGAGTGTAGGAACTGACCATATTATCCATTCTCACTGGCTACCCACTAAGCCCTCCTCTTTGCTCTCAGCTTTGTATTTTGGGCTATCCCCAGCCCTTGCTAACTCACCTTTAGTCAGGCAGAGCTGCAAATGACCACTCTCCTGTCTGAGCAAGGGCCAGAATGTGCCCACCTCTCCACAGTTTCTTAGGCTCTTCCCAATCCCCATAATCATCCCTGCCGGCACCAGGCCACCTCCTCCTGAAGGAGTAGGACTAGGTAAAACCTTTGTTATCGAATGTAGCAATGGGACACTCATCTCAAGCAAGACTCTGCAACACTCCTAGGCTCAGGGTGCATCCGGAAGCCTCTATATCTCAAGCCCCTTATGTCTGAGGAGCTAGATCTTTATTGATTATGGCTTGGAGACAGAAAAAAAATTCCCAAAGAAGAAAATCTCGCATGATTTCCTTTCTTGTTTATTTCACTGGGAAAAGGGATTAAGCAAGAGGCTTCCAAGGGTGGTGTCAGTATGACTTGTTTTTATGGGAGACTGTTCACAAAGACACTCTGTGAGACATGCCAGCTCTCCACAACCTATTTTTATCCTGCAGTTACTCACAGGAAGAACATCAAAGCTGATAAGGGAACTTCAGCATCACCTGGTCTAATCCCCCGAGTTTTCACAGAAGGAGGCCAAGAAGAGTGAAATAACTTGCCAAACATCACACAACTTGTAAACGGCAGAGATTCTAATAGAGATCCATTTAACAGAGGTCCAAGTCCAACCTTCTTATGAGTGAGTGGAGAGATTAGATCTAATCAGCAGAAAAGCTGCTGGGCTTCTACAACGCTATGTGAAGTGTGGGGTAAGGGATGAGGCCAGAGAGGGACATAAAGAAAAACAGATGTAAACTCTGCCCTCAAGAACTTTGGTTCATCCCCCTACTACTTAGCACAAGATTTTGCTCAATAAATGTTTGTGGAATGGTAAGAAGTAAGAGGGATTTTTGAAAAAATTGTTTTGGCCAACATCAAATAGTTGGGGCATGGATTACAAAGCATATCCACAAAGCAAGGTTAACCTGGACTGTGTCTCTGTCTATAGCTTAATCACCTATGAAAGGAGAAAATTTGATAAAGGGGAGGAGGAAGAGAAGAAAGAGGAGAAGGAACAGGAAGAGAAGAAGGAGGAGGAAGAAGAGGAAAAGAAGGAAGAAGAGGAAGAGGAGGAGGAAGAGGAGGAGGAGGAGGAGGAAGAGGAGGAGGAGGAGGAACAGGGGGAGGAAAAGGAGTAGAAGAATAAGGAGGAGGAGGAGGAGGGAGAAAAGGAAGAAGAGAAGGAAAAGGAGGAAGAGGGAGGAGGAAGATGGGGAGGAAGAGGAGGAGCAGGGGAGGAGGAGGAGGAGAAGGAAGGGGATAAAGGGAGAGGAGGAGGAGGAGGAGGAAGGGGAGAAATGGGGCAGGAGGAGGAGGAAGAAAAGAGAGAGGAGGAGGAGGAGAAACAGTAGAAACACAAAGTAACCAAGGCAACTTCCAACAGACTTCTCCTTTCCATACACTCCTATGTCCTCCCCCAACCCCTTCTGTCCTGTTCCCAGTGTCTGCTCTCCTCTCTTCCAACCTGCGTCTTTGGGATCCTGCTGCTGAAATACAGATAAACATGTCCGCATTTCCAAGTACAGTTAATAGGCTGAGCTGGTTCTGTTTGGTCTTTACACTGTCATGCTGTATGAACTCGGAGAAAGTGGCTGAACTTCTCGGGGAAGTGATTGCACCTCTCTAGACCTCTGTTTCTTCATTATACCGTAGCCAGGAGGATGAAAAGAGAGTCATCTTCACATTCTGGGAATCCTTCCAAGAGTGATGCAGCAACCCCTATGTTAAGTCCCAGTTCAGAGAGTGGAAAAGGAGGAAAAGGGAAGTGGTTGCTAAGCTGCCAAAGCACTTAATGATTTCTCTTCTAGAACCAGGTACAAAATGGGATTAAAACTGGTAGTCCGGGGGGCAGTGAGGTGGCACAGTGGATAGAGCTCCAGCCTTGGAGTCAGAAGGACCTGAGTTCAAAATCCAACCTCAGACACTTGACACTTACTAGCTGTGTGACTCTGGGCAAGTCACTTAACCCCAAGTGCCTCACCAAAAAGAAAAAAAAAACCTGGTAGTTTTAGGAAGAAAGGGAGGGTGCAGAAAAGAGAGGTTCTTTTCTTTCCCTGTGGTTCCACATTGTTGGCTTTCAGAGATCTGAAGGGGAAGACACAGGAAGACTCACAAACTATATGGTAACTCTTACATGCAGCCAGAGGCACTTAGTGAGTCAACCACCTGCTCCATCAGAGCTTCCAAAACTTGCAGGAAAGAGGATGTGGGTAGGAAGCCAGGTCTTTTTTTTTCTAACAGACCATCATAATCTCTAGAGCAGGGGTCCTCAAATTTGGTTGCATTCTGGACCCTTTCTCAGGATAATGTTTTTAAATGCATGAAATAAAATATATTGGATTACAAAGGGGAACAATTATATTGAAGTACAGTTAGGAAAATTTTTTTTAAAAATAAGTTTATGGATCCCAGGTAAAAAATACTTGCTGTAGACATGAAAGAAACCTCAGAGATGATCTATTCCAAGGTTCCTATTTTGAAAAGGAGGAAAGTGAGGGGGAGAGTTGAGATGACTCCTAATGTCCCCATGGATTATGCCCTTTCCTTCCCCAAGGGGAGGGGGGAAGAGCAAAGCTAAAGCATCTTCTAGAGGAGTAACTGAGGCTTTACAGCACTGAATCGCTTCCCTCAGGTCACAAAATCTGGTGTAGTGGATTAGGCATGAGACTTGGAGTCAGAAAGACCTGGGTTCAGATACTACCTCAGACACTTACTAGCTCTGTGACACTGAGCAAACCCTTCAACCTCTCCCGGACTCAGTTTTCCTAATCTATTAAATGAGCAGGCTGCACTCCATGACTTCAAAGGTCCCTTCTGGCTCTGAATCTAGGATTCTATAATTCATTACCAGACTAGAGCTAGATAGTCAGGCAACAAGCATTCATTAAGTACCCTGCACTAGGGATACAAAGAAAGGCAAAAGACAATCCCTGCCCTTGAGGAGCTTACAATCTAATGGAGGAGACAACAAGGAGACCTTGTTCACTGTTCTGTTGATATTCCCAGTCAGCCAAGCAGGTCCCACGAATTGGTGTCTCCCTCTATCACTCCCTAAACTTAAGAGCAAGTCACTCACCTTGTCAATGAAAGAAGCAAATTTGTTGTTGAGAACTTTGATCTGCTCACGCTCTTGACTTTTTACTTTCTGAAACTCAGGGTCCACCTCCACCCCAAGAGGCTGAAGGAGGCTCTGATTAATGGTCACCTCGCGAATGCCCCCTGGGGGACAGGAAGGACCAAAACCCCCAAGGCCAAAGCTACCACCCCCAAAACTCCTGCTCCCAAAGCCACGCCCACCACCACCACCACAACCTCCACCTCCAAAACCTCTGCCTCCTCTGCTCTGCCAAAAGCTACTGGCCCCATCCCCCACCAGGCTGCTCCCACTCAGATTATAGAGGCTTTGACTGGTATAGCTGCCCCTAAGCCGACTGTAACCCCCAAAGCCACCAGCACCACCAGCACCACCTCCACACCTCCCATCTATGCGGCACACAGACCCGCCGGTCTGGCTTCTCCCACCAAAGGATCTGGCACTGTAAACATGCCTGCTCCCCAATCCAAAGGCAGACCTAGAACTGAACTGCCGGCTCATTGTTTCTCAAGCATCCAGAGAGACAGAAGGAGAAGGGGCCCTGTCAGGAAGGAGAGGAGGAGATCAGAGCAGGAAGGAGACACAACTCCTTTGACAAGAAAACTGGCACTGCCCCTTATATATGCAATTGGGCTGGGTCCGTTCTCCAACCCTTGGGAGGAGAATAATATTTAGTTTACCTGCCAGCAATGAGTCTGGTTCAAAACTAATACCTAGGAGTTGCAAAAACCCCATTGCAGACAAACTTCCCTAACTTGCTCATTTATCTTTTATCTCTCCCTACCTGCTTAGAGATTCAATTGAAATGATTACCCAGGATCTGGTTGCTGAAAACTCTTCTATCATTTCCCCCTAAACGTGAGGTCATTGTTTTCCAAGCAACTCCCCAAGAGAGTTGTTTGTTTGGAGATGTGCCCTGAAATCTGGGGCAAGTCGTGGGGGTGCCTGGCCATCCTCCAACATTAATTGAGATGGCTAGGGCTGGGGCTGGTGGGCAACTTCTGGAACAAGAATCCTAGAGATATTTTGGTAGGTCCCTTCTGCTCTCCTTCCCACACCACTCCTGTACTATGTATTGTTATTACTGCTAAAGCCTGAGATTTTTTTCCCACAATTTCTTTGACCCTCAGTCACCTCATCCCCAAAATGGGGATAAAAACACCATGTCTATTCCCACATGGTTATTGTAAGGATAAAATTATCTAATATATATGAATATACTTTGTAACCAGACCCAACTTTACATGGATCTTGTCTTGTGATCTTTAGGAAAGCTCTTGATGTCTCTAAGCTTCTCATTCCCATTAAGTCCTAGCCACCAATCTTCACTTCCACTCACAGTGAGTTTCAATAAGAAACTATTATATATGATGCACTGTCGAGAACACTGGGTGAAGAAATCCCTATAAATTCATTGTACAACCCTTTGACATGTAGCCAGATCTCCACATGCACTTACTGCTTATTCCAAACTCTAACACATGTCTACTGGGTTCTACATACCCCAATTATCAGCCAGTGTAAGTTCAAGGAAATACAAGTTTATGCTAGCATCTATATGAACCAAATCAAATTAGGAAGATCAATCAATTAGTAGAAAATCGGATAGATTGTTTCCGAACCAAAGAGAAATCTCTTTTTGATTATTCACTGTTTTGCATTTCCACTTGGGTAGATCATAGAAAGCTGGCTATTAGCAATCAATCAATCTACAAGCATTTATTAAATACCTACTGTATGCCAGACACTATGGTGAACTCATAGGGACACAAATAAAGGCAAAAGCAGGGCCTACTCCCTAGAAGCTTACATTCTAATGAGAAAGACAATGTGTATACGAACAAGAATATTCCAAAAAAAGCATACAGAGTAGATGGAAGGCAACTGTACAGGGAAAGGCACTAGCAGCTGGGGGGACCAGGAAAGGTTTCCTGCAGATGGTGATATTTGATGTGGGTGTTGAAGAAAGCCAATGATTCCATGAGGCAGATTCCAGTGAGGAGGGAAAGCCTTCCAATGCAAAAACGCAGCAATGGAAGTTGAAGTATTATGTTCAAGGAACAGCAAGTATGCCAATATGACTGGATTACAGAATTCATGGAGGGGAATAAAGTATAAGAAGCCTGGAAAGGTAGTCAGTAAATTTGGGGCCATCTAGTTCACCCCTGTGGACCTTGGTTTCCTCATCTGTAAAACTGGAGTGGGAGTTAGGGGCTTGAATTAAAATGTGCTTTCTAAGCAGAATGGCAGAAACTAGGCATAGACCAACACCTCACACCATACACCAAGATAAAGTCAAAATGGGTACATGATTTAGACATAAAATATGATATCTTAAGTAAATGAAGGGAGCACGGAAAAAATACCTGTCAGATCTATAGATAAGGAAAGAGTTTATGATCAAACAAAAGGCAGAGAAGATGACAGGAGGTAAAATGGATAATTTTGATTACATGAAATTAAAAAGGTTTTGCTCAGACAAAACCAATGTAGCCAAAATTGGAAAGAAAGTTAGGGGAGGAGAATTTTAGAGCAAATTTCTCTGATAAAGGCCTCATATCACAAATATGTAGATAATTGAGCCAAATGTATAAAAATAAGAGTAATTCACCAATTGATAAATGGTCAAAGGAAATGAACAAGCGGTTTTCAGAGAAGAAATCAAAGCAAAAAAATGCTCTAAATCACTACTGATTACAAAAATGCAGACTAAAACAACTCTGAGGTACCACCTCATAGCTTATCAGATGGGATAACATGATAGAAAAGGAAAATGACAAATGCTGGAGGGGATGTGGAAAATAGGGACACTAATGTACTATTGGTGAAATTGTGACTTGGTCCCCCCATTCTGGAGAACAATTTGGAACTGTGCCCAGAGGGTTATAAAACCATACATACCCTTTGACTTAGCAATACCATTACTAGGTCTGTATTCCAAAAATCAAAAGGAAAGGAAAGGAAAATGACCCTCAGGTACAATAATATTTATAGCAGTTGATTTTGTGTTGACAAAGAATTGGAAATTTAGGGGGTGCCCATCAGTTTTGGAATGATTAAATGAATTGTGGTGTATGATTGCAATGGAGTACTATTGTGCTATAAGAAATGATAAAGAGAATGGTTTCAGAAAAAACCTGGGAGGACTTACATAAAGTGGTGCGAAGTGAAGTGAGAAGAACTACAATAATGTACACAGTAACAGCAACATGGTAATGATGATCAATCGTAAAAAACTTAGCTACTCTCATCAATGCAACAATCCAAGATAATTTCAAAGGACTTATGAGGAAAAATACTATCCATATTCTAAGAGAGAACTGGTGAACTCTGAGGACACATCGAAACATATTTTTTCACTTTATTTTTCTTGCTTTTTGCAACATGTATAATATAGAAATATGTTTTGTATGACTCCACATGTTTAAAAAAAATCCTGAAAAAAATGAAATGTGCTTTCCAATTCTAATACACTAAGATTTTAAGATTTATTGAGCAACGCTGTGGCCAAAAAAAAACCACATCCACCAACAGGTGCAGAAAGGAGGTGAAGAACAGACATCAGAAAAGAAATCTTGATGACAAGACACAGGTGAAAAATGGAAGCCATCCTAAGAAAGAGAGAGGTCTAGGCTGATGGGCAATGCTGAGTTTCCATTTGCCTTCTAAACACTATACCTGCTCACCTTTCCCTGTAGCTATGCCTTCAGGGAAAGCGTGTCCTTGGGATTCCAGGTATATAAATCTATTCTTGGGTACTGGACCAAGAAAGAGAAGGAAAAATTCAGAGGGAGGATAAAGGACATGCCCTGCCTATCCAGGTGAGCACCCTGGGAATAGCTAGACAGAACTCTCTCCAAGGATAGGGACAGAGAGGGAGGCAGACTTGGGCATGGGGGGTAGTCTAGGAAGGCTTCCTGAAAAGGAGGATTTGGAGCACAGCCTATAATTAAAACATGGGCAGAGAGGAGACAGGAGAGCATTCGCAGGAATGAGACTATGCCAAGCAAGAAGCCATATGAAGTTTCAGATGCCTTTCTGGCCTCCTGTCCTGATCTTCCAGGTGCTCTGTCCTTAAATCTTGAAAAGGGGCCATGTCTCTTGAGCTTCCATGAATCAAGTCGGTATGGTGTTTGCACTGAGCTTACAATGATGCAGTAGGCCACCAGGTTGCTCAAGGAAGGGTAAACCAGCCTGGGATAGAACAGGTTGTCATACTGGGTCAGAGTGGGACTAGGCCTGTGAGGAGTCCCTAGACTTTTAGCCTGGTGAAGATAGGCAGATCTAGTATTTTTAAAAAAAAATCATGCATGTTAGAATTTTCAAGTTCAAAGCTACCTACTCCAACCCCCTCCTTCAACAAATGAGAAAATTGAGGCTTGAAGAAGGGAAATGACTTGCCCAAGGTCACCCAGGGATAAGTTTGCAGAACCAGAATTAGAATTTAGGCAGCCTGACCCTGGTTTATTATTCTTTCCACTATACCTTTGTTTCCTCCTGCCCTCAAAAGTTCAGGTTTTATCCCTACAACCTACTGTACTCTTCCAACATGAATCATATGGTCATGGAGTCCATGTATAGTTAACTACATGGTCTTTCAAACATTTATATTTTTAACGTGGAGTATGTTTTTCCCATGAGTAGAGGCTGTAACATTTGTTGTCCAATTCTCCTTCTTCACTGGAGCTAATAAATGCCATGAATCTGGGAAACAATGTCTCAGTGCACAATCAACTTTCAGCTAGTGACTGATCCATAGTAAATCTTATTTTTAATTTTTTATAGATATGATCTATACTACTAAGATAACTCTAGGAAAGGAGAACTCCTCTAGTGACCACATCAGTAGCTCTAAGATCCCTCATAATAATGATTCACTTGTACTCCTACTGAAACTGGAAGAGAAGACCCACGAAACAAAAACGCTCAATTGTCACTCCTCAGCTCTCAGAAAGCATAGTGAGAGAAGAGTTCTGCTTAGTCTGGTGCGTGGCAACAGTCTCAGGATGAAAGATGATATTTTCCTAATTTCAAATTCAGCCTCAGATATTTACCAGTTGTATGAGCTAGGGCAAGTCCCTTAACCTCTATTCGCCTTGGTTTCCTCATCTGTAAGATGGGAACA